TCTTATAGAAGAATTCTCCAGACCAGTGCTGTCCAGTACTGTGATGGTGAAAATGCTATAAATCTGTGCTATCATGGTGGCCACTGACCACATCTGGCTGTTAAACATTTGAAATGTGGCTGGGGCAAATAGGGAACTGAATTTCATTGTAATTTATTTAGTTGCAATTAAATTTAATAGCCACTTGGGGCTAGTGGGTACTGAATTTTAGTGAAGCTCTAAAAAGATTTGAGAATGTACAAATGATTGGTTTCATTTAGGTATGGATTAACCCATTCAATTGTAACATCAAAACATAAATAATTAGGAGAGAAATAGCAATTTATGAATAAAGAAATTATGCCTGGTTAGGAGTTTTTGAGGATTAAAATAGGTTAAAAAAAAAAAAAAGAAAGAAAAGAAAAGGAGCATTAGTGACTATGATATAACCTGAAATTCTTGAAAGCCGGGCCCCTATGTTCATTGTTGTATTCCTACCACCTAATTTCTGTGCCTAGCACAGAGTAGATTCCAATAAAGAGTTGTCAGATGAATGATCTGCTAAATTACCATGGAGTTAGGGGAAGGGATTTGGAGGGAGGAAACAAAAGATAGGAATGAGAAGGAAATTTCATAGGTAAAGAAATATAAGTAGGTGATCAGGTCTTAAAAATTAATGCAAGAACTGGAATTGTTTAGTGTCTTCATATATGAATTAGCAGGGGCGAGGAACCTTTTTTCTGCCAAGGGCCATTTGAATATTTATAACAAGCACTCAATTTGGATATTATTTTGAGAAAGGAATCAGATAGATTTTTTAAAATACTTCGAAGTGAACTTTGTAAATAAAGTAGTTTTTGAAAACAAGATCTTTGTGAATTTTTTTTGTAAATTTTGGATTGCCTGTCCCTTTATAATCTCCTATGGGGCTGAACTGACTGCATGGTGAGTCACAGTCATAACTCCTTTACCACGTTTAAGGGATGTAGCCTTCATAGACAGCCTCCTTGAGACCAAAATTCAAACGATAAGCAGCAGCTGCATGTTCTCCGTGAAAACTTGTTTTTGTGAGAAGTGTCTGGAGCTTTCCACTGCTTTTAGTAGATGTCAGTCACAGTTTCCTAATGCTGTTAGTTTAAATCAAGAAAGGAAAAAAATCTAATTATATCCTTCAATGTTGACAAAAACCTAAGTGTTAAGACTTGAGATTTGGGTAGATCAGTGGAACACACCTTCTGTAAACTTTATTAGAATCTCTTGCATGTGTGCCTTCTCTTAGTACACAAGATATCATCGTGGATGGATCTACACATATTTTAGAGTCAGCTATTATTTCAACTGTTTGGGTGTAGTGGTGATGGCTAATGCCCAAAGTCTCATAATGTGGCCCCTCAGGGGGTCTGTTGGAATTGTTTGTTTATCCTTTTTAGCCCTGGGGTTAACATTCTTGGGCAACATCTTTGCTTTTTGGTGATAATATGTTCCAACTGTTTTTGTTTTTGTCCCTGCTCCAAGACATGGAGTCATTTACCACCTTGACAGTATTAATTCGTTTCAGTGAGAATAGTATTAGATCCCCAAGTCAGGCCACAATTAATAAATGTATTTTAAAATATTTTAAAGTCACTAATATACATTAATTTTTTCAATTTAAATTTAAATCCTTATTTCTGAAGACTTCTTTTTCTATTTTCTTTTCTTAGAGCTACCCACCCCTCTTTTCTCTGTCTTATTTGAATTATATTGCTCTGTCAAACTATGAGTTTCAAAACTGTTATATAAGTTATAGTGTTATGTGAAACTTTAGGAACCTCCCTCTAAACAGTTAAATTTTGTTGCAGTTGAAAGTAATAATTAATTCATTATTCTTCCACTTCATGGTTTAGTTGCAGGATTGTAGAGTAACCATATGGGCCTTTTCCCTCTCCCCTCACCAAGATATCAAGATATTTTCATTTTCATGTTAGGTTCATATTGTACCCTCAGATGCTATTAATAGATACAGAATGATTATTTGAAAAAAATAACAGAACACCAGCAGAGCACAAGGCATAGTAACTAGTACTTTAGATGATACTACTTAATCAGTAATACAGGATGATGGTAAAAGAGAGACTACGGATGCAGACTTCTGAGGTTTTATTTGAAACTCAATTTTCATGAACCAAAATATAAACTTTGTTTTTTTACATTTATTTACTTCTGTTAAATAAGCTTTGGTGTTGAACTTCAGTTTCTTAAGACATTGATATAAATGCAAATGAAGATACTCATAAAGTGATTCTATAATCTTCAATGCAGCTTAAATTTGCAAGAAAAAAAGTTTTCTGTTTCAGATTTTTTTAAGTGAAACATTGCACATATAATTGAAGTCTTCATTCTACGCCTTTCTCTGAGGTAAACTTTGCCTTGCAGTTGATTTACATTCTTCCTTTGAAAATTTTGTTGTTTCTTTAGGTGTATGTTTACATAAATAGACACAAATAATCTTTTGTTCTTTAAATTTACATAAATGGCATTATATGTTATATAACATTTATATGGTACATAACATTATGCTACATAACATTATATGGTATGTAACAAATGATTTTGGATCAAAACATGCTGATTCAAAATCCTATAAAGCAGTGTATGAGAATTCTTATCTCTCTACACAAATTCCTATATTTTCAGACTTTGCAATTTTCGCCAGTCTGATGGAGATGAAATGGTAATTGTTTTTCAATTTGCATTTCCCTGAACACTAGTAAGATAAAGCACCTTTTCATAGTTTATTTACCATTTAGGTTTTACTCTTCTATGAATTTCTTTTAAAAATTAAAAGGAGAGGTAGCACTAACACTTCCGGTCCCCTCTTTTCATTCATTGTGAGTGTCTACTCTGTGCCAGGCACTATCTGGGCTCTAGAGGTATAGGCAGGAACAAAGCAAAGTATCACAAGTCAAACACAATTTTTTAAAAAATAAAGTAGGATGTCAGAGAAAGACACTGTCAGTCTCAGTTTTAACCAGAGCCCCAAAGCCAAGAACAAAACAATGGCATAAATTATCTTTGCATTCTGCAGCCAAATGCTAGACCCTTCTGGGCAGGACTCACTAATAGTTTGAAGCCACTGCTCCCCTGCAGCCCATGAAAGGAATATGCTGAAGGGCTGAGAGAAGCATTTCTTTAGAGAAAATTGTTCACGTGCTGGCCATCTCACCAGTATGTGGGTGGCGCTGGATGCTGTGGGGATGGATGTCATTGCCCAAGCAGAATGCGCAGTGCGGCAAGAGAGAAGACAGTGGAGTACAGAACCTTCTGGAACTGGATAAGTGGACAGAGATAGATGACTCTATAAAAGAAGACCGGTGACTGGGAAAAGAGCCAGAGGACAAAGGTGTCACAGCAACCAAAGGACAAGGTTTTGAGAACACTGGTGAGGGCCATGGGTTTTGGAATGTTTCTGGCCCAAGTTGGAATGCTGGACCAGACATCTAATGGTTGTATAAATTCATTTCTCCAAACCTGAACTTATTTATCTTTAAATATGCTTAATAATAATTGCCTCATGTTGTTTTAAATCTTAAATAAGATGCTATGCGGAGGTCTTTTCACTCTTAATTATAGTAAATTCTTTAAAAATTGACTTATTTTTGTCAAAAGAAGGAAAATGTATCAAATGTACTATAACAGGATCATCATTTTTTTAAAAAGTCTATAAGCTTTATTGATACTTTGCTTTATAAATATTTTATACTACTTATAAATAAAATGGTTCCTTCTCAATAGTGGCACTAACCAACCCAGTTCCCTAAGAAGAAAATACTATGTATAAGGAAGAAATGTATAAAGACAAATAAGATGTCATTTAACCTACTAAAATTATAATCTAGAAGACTGACTGAATTTTTAAAATAATTTCCATTATTTAAACAATTTATCCTTGGACCATGTTTTGATTTCTAGATAAAAACTTCTTTGCTTTATTTTTTTTTACAAAGTCAGAAAAGACAACAGATAATAAAATTAGAATAGTGTTCACTGGGGCCAGCACTGTGGTGTAGCGGGTAAAGTCACTGCCTGCAGTGCCGGCATCTCATATGGGCACCAGTTCAAGTCCTGGCTACTCCACTTCTGATCCAGCTCTCTGCTATGGCCTGGGAAAGCAGGAGAAGATGGCCCAACTCCTTGGGCCCCTGCACCCATGTGGGAGACCTGGAAGAAGCTCCCCGATCCTGGCTTCAGATTGGCACAGCTCTAGCCGTTGTGGCCATCTGGGGAGTGAACCAGCGGATGGAAGACCGACCTCTCTCTCTGCTTCGCCTTCTCTCTCTTTGTAACTCTGACTTTCAAGTAAATAAATAAATCTTTTAAAAAAAATAGTGTTCATAGTATCTCTTCACTATTTCCCCAGATATATGAGTAATTATATTTTCAGCTGAATTTTAAGTTATTATCAGGTTTCTTTAGTATTGATATATTGCCTGTAGAACACTAAAAAATTGATGAGGAGAGTTGGCGCCATGGCTCACTTGGTTAATCCTCCGCCTGTGGTGCTGGCACCCTGGGTTCTAGTCCCGGTTAGGGCGTCGGGTACTAGTCCTGATTGTTCCTCTTCTAGTCCAACTCTCTGCTGTGGCCCAGGAGGACAGCGAAGTGTGGCCCAAGTGCTTGGGCCCCTGCACCTACCTGGGAGACCAGGAGGAAGCACCGAGCTCCTGGCATCGGATCGGCGCAGCGCTGGCCGTAGCGGCCTTTAGGGGAGTGAACCAACGGAAGGAAGACTTTTCTCTCTGTCTCTGTCTCACTGTCTATAACTCTACCTGTCAAATAAAAATTTTTTAAAAAATTGATGAGCAAAAGTTAAGATACTTGTTGGACTACCATATCCCACATTGGAGCATTGGAGTGCCTGGGTTCAAACTGGACTCCGCATCTTTTTTTTTTTAAGATTTATTTATTTTGTTTGAAAGGCAGAGTTACAGAGAGAGAGAGCTATCAAGATCTTCCATCCACTAGTTCACTCCCCAAATGGCTGCAGTGGCCAGAGCAAGACTGATCAGAAGCCAGGAGGCAGGAGCTTCTTCCAGGTCTCCCACATGGGTACAGGGGCCTAAGTACTTGGGCCATCCTCCACTGCTTTCCCAGGCACATTAGCAGGGAGCTGGATGGGAAGTGGAGGGGCTGGGACTGGAACCAATTGGACTCCATTTATATTTCCTGCTAATGCATACCCTCGGAGGCAGCAGGTGATGGCTCAAGTACTTGGGTTCCTGCCACCTACACGGGAGACATGGATTGAGTTATAGGTTGCTGACTTCAGCCTGGCCTCGCCCTGGATGAAAGATCTTTCTCTCTCTCTCCCCGCCCTCTTCTCCCCCCATTCAAGTAAATAAAAATATAAAATAACTTGATGAAATATTAAAATTAGGAACCAAATTTTTGTACCAAAGTAAACATTAAATATACACATATGCCCAAACACATCTCCCTCCTTCCCCTCCCTTTCCTGCCTTCCTGGCTTCTTTGCCTGCCTTCTTTCCTTCCAGTGGATTTTCTTGAATGAGGTAGCAAGAGTAGACTGACATCTTGTTATTACTTCCCTTGTGCAGAAATGATTGGCAATGTTGAGATCCAGCCATAAGCTCATCATTTCCTTTGGGGTAGCTCAGTGGGTAGATGCTTCTTTTATAGACCTTTGGTAGGAGTGTTAAACAGCAAAATGGCTCAATGTTGAAAGCAAGAGGTTCTTCAGTAAACATTAGGGCAAACTACTGCTTGGGATGCCTGCATTCCGTATGAGTGTGTGTGTGTTGAGCCCTAGCTTCTCTGTACTTCCTATCCAACTTCCTGTTAATATGCCTAGGAGGCGATGGAAGATGCCTAGGGCTAAGGGTCCTAGCACCGATGTGGGAGATCAGGATGGAGTTTTTGTTTCCTGGCTTTAGCTAGACCAACCTCTCCCTGGCTGTTGTGGCCATTTGGGGAGTGAACCAGTGGATGGAAGATATCTCTGCCTCTGCCTGCCTCTCTTTCATTCTCTGTCTCTCTGTGTGTGTCACTCTGCCTTTCAGACAAACTTTTTAGAAAAAAGCATTGCATATTCAATTCTTGTAACAAAAGAGGTCCTTTTGGAAAGGGTAGTCACAGATCTTACTATGACCTAGGAGCGTTGAAAAAATTTCACAAGGATGGAAAAAAGATTACTGCAGTTAGAGGGTAATCCGCCTTGAGCTTTGTATGCTCCTGCACATCTTCCTAGGTGTGCCAAGAATCTAAGTTCCTGGGCTGGTGTTGTGTTGTACCGGGTTAAGCTACTGTTTCTAATACTGACATCCCATATCAGAGTGCTGGATTGAGCCCTGGCTGGTCCAATTCTGATCCAGCTTCTTGCTAATATGCTTGGGAAAGCAGCAGAATGTGGCCTTAGTACTTGGGACCCTGCACCCATGTGGGAGACCCAGATGGGATTCTGAGCTCCTGACGTACACCTGACCAGCCCCAGCCATTACAGCCATTTGGGGAGTAAACCAGCAAATGGAGGATCTCATTCTCTCTGTGTCTCCCTCTCTCTGTCACTCTGCCTTTCAAGTAAATAAAAAAAAAAAAACTGCTTAATATCCTTGTTCATTCTGTCTGGGTCATTTTTCATGACTGTAACAAGAAACCTTGAGTAAGGAGGTCCTTGCTCGAGTACCAAGAACAGGTTTAGCAGATTTGCTTTCTGCTTGCAATGGAAGTGATGGATCCCCTGTAACACATTCCAGTTGGGAGACAAATGTCTCTGGACCTTCAGCATTGCCTCTGTGGGTAATGTGGGGCCCAGGACAACCAATGTGAATATCCTGGCCATCATACTGCTCACCATGCCACGAGTAGTACTCATGTTAGACTTCTTTTGGATCCAGGAAGTTCGTGTTTTCTGTCAGTATCCACGAAGAATAAGAGATTAATTTGTTAGCTTTAGTGTAAAATCAAATCACAGATAAGACTACTGTATATTGAGAATTAGAGAACTTTATTCCTCTTCAAAGGAGTTTATTCAAGGGTTTCCAAGAATCAGGTGTTAGGAAGAGAACAAAGACCAGAGGTGTTACTGTTGTGTAGGATAAGGATATTAAGCAATAAATAAAAGCATTTGAGGGTGTATTTTATGTCTAAGTGGCTATACATATACACCCATTATGGAGACAGTACTCTATGTCAGGTTGGAAAAGGAAAGAATAGTGGTGTTTCTTTTCTAATAACTGTTCACCTCACCTTTAAGTGAGTTTAAGTTATTCCAAGTTGTAATGAACAGTGGCATTAGCAGGTTTTCATAATCTGTGCATGTGGCCTTAACAATCAGGTGGCACACTTTATTGTCAAGGTGGACGAAGCTTGTTTCATTCTGAGAGTGACATTTGCAACGTTTAAGCTGTTTTAGCCATCTTAATATAGTTTCGTACCAAAGTTTATACCGTCACTTTTGCATGTCACTGGAGAGTATAAAAACCTGGGGTGGGGAGGAAATGTTCCAGTGAAAGAAGAATGGATTAGTAGGCCAAGCTTGTGGCAGGCAGCTCTAAGCCAATGATTATGTAGAGACCATCTAGGTTATCACCCTCATCCAGCAGTATTCCCACCCTTTGATTTGTTGGATGACTCCTTGAGCATAATGAAGCCTCAAGAATTGCAGCTTTTCAGAACAGTGAGCCACAGAACAGTTTTATACTAAAGCTGATGTCATTAGATTCTAGAGCTTGCTGTCATCACATTCTGCGTTATTGCCATGTTAATTCCACGTGCAACTCAAGTATTCAGTCTTCTGACCTGTTCCACCTACACAGGGCATTTTACGGCTTAAGGATGATGGCCTAGAAGGGAAGGGAAGACTTAATTTGGATTAAATTCAATATGGGAAAATGCCTAAGGTAAGCATTTAAAAAACACTTCTTCATGTGTTTTGTATGCTAAAGGATGCTGACAATATTCACAAACCAAGCTTTAGTGCTTCCCTTAGCTTCCCACAGAACTGGATGTCTGCAATGTTTGTATAGTTGAAGCATTCTCTGCCCCATCCATGGTTAGTATTTTATAATGTAACCAGTGAACAGGGCATAAGTTTATTCTGCCTAAACCCTTTAAATATGGTAGCTTTATAGTCTCAAACAGATATTTTGGTTTATTATCTTTAAAAACCAAAAGTTACATTTTTCTTTTAGGGAATCCTTTAGTGCTGGAGTCCTTTCATGTACTCCTCTTATCTTCCTGTCTGCTTCTGAGTCTTGCGACTTCTTTCTCCAAGGTCCATAGAGTGGTAAGATACTGGGGGAGAGATGGAGATGATCTTCTAGACTCATGCATTCTTTTGGGTCCACCTGTATGACTGTCACCTTCAGCACCCCTGTTTTCCTTACCTGTTATTGTTCAGGAGGTGTGGCAGGTGTCCACCCTGCTCCCTGTTTTTCTTTTCCTCATTTGACCCTTTTTTCACTCTAGTTGCTGCAATAAGGACCAAAGTACTGCTGACTTCCTGAAGTATGGAGTGTCTTCTAGCTCACAGTCATTTGTCTCTGCTGATTTTAAAACACCTCGTCCTTCTGCAGCGTATAAAGTCAATTCACCCAGAGGAAGTGCACCATTATCTTCTCTATCAAATACATCTACCTGTTCATTTCTCTCTGCAAAAAGACATTCTATATCCAGCAGATTTAAAAAGCGCTACACTTTCCCTAGTTGGCAGCAAAGTAGAGCTAACTTTGAGTCTCAAGAAGATGAAAACGACCTTGATTTTAAACCTTCTTCAGAGCCTTTTGCTGCCTTTCCATCCCGAAGACGTTTCTCTTCCCGCAAACTCAGTGTTGTTTCCTGTTATAAGAGTGCTATTTTTTGGGATCCTCGAGCAAGTGGTCAGGACATGTTTAATCTCAGTGAAATGGAAATCTTTTCTGAAAACCCAAATAATACTGATACTGAAAGACATATAGCTTTCTCCCTTCCTGAATTTAATGGTAAAAATCTTAAGGATTTTGAAACAAGAACTACTTCAGATAATCAGAACACTATTGGTGGAGTCACCTATCAACAAAGTGCAGCATCCTTGAATTTTCCTCCAACAGTTGTTTCGTCTCCCAGTGATATTCAAGAAGATAACCAGTTCAGTAAATATCCAAAAGATTCCCTTTATCCTGGGTCTCAAAATCACATCATGAATTATTCTCCAGCTATGATTGAATAGCACCCCTTCTCACCAGTGTAACACCCCTTACCCTCCATAACGTTGGTTTTTTTTTTTCATCTTATAAAAATCCTAGTATCTTTATCCCATCTCTAGATGAAGGTATCACAGGTCTCTTTGAAGATGAAGACAAACCTTTCCCTTGTGAAATTCCTACGATAAAGTCACCCCAGACTTTACCCTGTCTTGGAAGTGCAGCTCATTCAGACGCTTTCTACCAGTCACACTTCATGTTCTGTAGTAATTGACACTCACTAGTCATAGAAGTCCCCTCTCCTCTCTAAACTCCACTGCATTTTCTGGGAAAGATTCTTACCTTGCAGTCTAAATTTAACTTTAATCGCTGTGAAAATTATGAAAATGAAAGGTAGTATTGACATTACTGGAAAATGAAGTAAAAAATGATTTCATTTGGTCAGCTTTTTTTTTTCAAATTTGCTAATTTGCTGCTTAGACATTGGCTGGTCCCAAATTTCTGAGTGATTATTGTAATACTACTGTTTTATAGTACAACCAAGCTTTAATGTATACATTTTCCAAACGTAACACATTGTTTGAGAGTTGTTTTATCCTACTCTATTTACTAGAAAACTGTGCCTTCATACTCTGTAGAGCTATATTGATCAGTTCACATGCCAGACATCCCACTGTTGGATGCTTTTATTACCTTACGAATAAAATTATAGGGGCTAGCATAGTGGTGCAGTAGGTTAAGATACTGCCTGCCATGCTGGCATCCCATATCTAAGCTCCAGTTTGAGTCTCAGCTTCTCCATTTCCCATCCAGCTTCCTGCTAATGTGCTAGAGAAGTCAGTGGAAGGTGGCCCAGATGCTTGGGCCCTTGCCACACATGTGGGAGACTGGGTGGAGTTCTAGGCTGCTGGCTTTGGTCTGGCTTAGCCCTGGCTGTTATGGCCATTTGGGGAATGAATGAGTAGATAAAAGATTGATCTCTCTGATCTCTCCCCCCCCCCCCCCTTCCCTCCCCTCATGATTCTCATCTGTTTTTTTTTTTTTTTTGGTTTGGTTTTTGTTTTTTTTTTTTTTACAGGCAGAATTAGAGACAGGAAGGTCTTCCTTTTCCGTTGGTTCATCCCCCAAATGGCTGCTATGGCCAGCGCACTGCACCGATCCAAAGTCAGGAGCCAGGTGCTTCCTCCTGGTCTCCCATGCGGTGCAGGGCCCAAGCACTTGGGCCATCCTCCACTGCCTTCCCAGGCTATAGCAGAGAGCTGGACTGGAAGAGGAACAATAGGGACAAAATCCCAGGGTGCCAGCACCGCAGGTGGAGGATTAGCCAAGTGAGCCGGCCAATTCTCATCTCTTGATCATTCTACCTTTCAAATAAATAAATCTTTTAAAAATTAACCAAATTATAAGTTAAAAATGTATAGTTGAAATATGTAAAATATTTAGAAACCAAATATTTTAAGTAAATAATTTTGGTACACATTTATGTATGCCTAAGTCTAAGAATTCAGAGAACCCTGCAATCAGAGATAGAAGTGTGCATAAGTCTACAATATTTTATTTTATTGTTTAAAATTTTATTTTTTTATTTGAAAGGCAGAGCCCTGCCCCCCGCCTCCCCTAGACACACACATACACAGAGTGGGGGGGGGGGGGGAGAGAGCACTTGCAACCACTGTTTTACTCCCTAAGTGGCCACGACATTCAAGTCAGGACCACTCCTAAGCCAGAAGCCTAGAACTCCATCTTGGTCTCCCACATGGGTGATAGGGACCCAAGTAATTGGGTCATCTTCTGCTGCCCTCCCAGGCCCTTTAGCAGGAAGCAGGACTCAAATTGACTCTAATATGGGATGCTAGCATCACAAGCAGACGCTTAATCCACTCATCACAAGACCAGCCTGTCCCAAATTTTGTTTTTAATAGTCAATGTTTTTCAGATTTTGTTTCTATTAAATTAAATAAGGCTTATAAATATATTCATCAGCATAACTGAGTGGAAGATGTATACAGGCAGTTAAAAACACTCAGAATATAGTTGGACTTAGTAGGAAAAAGGAATTTGCATTATTTTCAAGTATTTATTATAATAAAATGGCCCCAAATCTAAATCATTTGGCTAAGATGCTATTTCACTTTTTTGGTTTTCTCTTAGCATGTCTCTTTAAAAAATTATTATAGATTTGAAGTTTGTAGTTGTGATGAAATACATAAAACATAAATTTACCATCTTAACCATTTTTAAGTATGTAGTTCAGAGATATTGAGTACACTCACATTGTCAGGGGACCATCATCTCCACCCATCTACATAACTTTTTTCATTTTACAAAACTGAAACTCTGTACCCCGTCTCTGTCAGCCATCATTCTGCTTTCCGTCAATGATTTCAACTACTCTCAGTACATCATATCAGAAGGGAGCCTCAAAAAATTCATGGAGAAATTAAGGCATAAGTTTATTGTGGTGCAAAAGATTTTTGAAATCCAGGCTTATTGCATTTTTCCATGAACTTTTTGAAAACCCTTCATGTAAGTAGAATCCTCTAGTAATTGTCTTTGTAACTGGCGTATTTACTAAGCATAATATCCTCAAGCTTTATTCATGTTGTAGCATGTGTCAGAATGTACTTCTTCTTTTTTTTTTTTTTTTTTACAGGCAGAGTTAGGCAGTGAGAGAGATCGAGAGACAGAGAGAAAGGTCTTCCTTCCGTTGATTCACTTCCCAAATGGCTGCTACGGCCAGCGTACTGCGCCGATCCAAAGCCAGGGGCCAGGTGCTTCCTCCTGGTCTCCCATGCGGGTGCAGGACCCAAGCACTTGGGCCATCCTCCACTGCCCTCCTGGGCTGCAGTAGAGAGCTGGACTGGAAGAGGAACAATCGGGACAGAATCCAGCGCCCCAACCGGGACTAGAACCCGGTGTGCCGGCGCCACAGGTGGAGGATTAGCCAAGAGAGCCGCAGCGCCAGCAAGAATGTACTTCTTTTTAAAAGCTCAATAATAATCATATGTATATATCACATTTTACTTATCTGTTCATCCATCAATGGGTGATTTTGGTTGATTCTATGTTTGAAATATTATGAATAACTCTGCTATAAAGATAGTTGTACAAATGCCTCTTTGAGACTGTGCTTTCAATTCTTAAGAGTATACACCCAAAAGTAGGATTGCTAGATCATATGGTAGTTCTATTTTTCATTTTTGAGTACTTGACCTACTGGTTTCCACAGTGGCTGCACCATTTTACAGTTCTACCAAGAGTGTACAAGGATTCTAATTTTCTCACTACCTTGACAACACTTGGCATTTTGGTTTGTTATAGTGGTCATCTTACTGGCTGTCAGGTTATATCTTACTGTGGTTTTCATGTACACATTCCTGTTGATTATTGATATTAAGCATATTTTCATGTTATAATTGACTCTGTATATCTTCTTTGGAGAAATGTTCATTCAAGTCTTTTGCTCATTGAATTTTTTATTTTATTTTATTTTATTTATTTATTTATTTTGGTTATTTGAAAGGTAGAGAGACAGGGATTTCTCACTTGATGGTTCACTCCCCAAATGGCTACAACAGGCAGGCCTGGGCAGTGTCAAAGCTGAAAGCCTGGAACTCAGTCCAGTCCTCCACATGGGTGGTACAGACTCAACTACTTGAACTATCCTCTGCCACTTCTCACAGTGCCCATTAGCAGGAAGCTGGAATTAAGAACAGAGCTGAGACTCAAACCCAGGCACTCCAATATTGGATGTGGGTATCCCAAGCTGCATCTTAAATTCTACACCAAACACTCATCTTCTGTTAAAATCAAAGTTGGTTTTTTCAGTTTTAGGTTTAAAATTTGTATTCATTTTAAAGGCAGACAGATCTTCTATCTGCTGGTTTTCTCTCCAAATGCCTGCAACAGCTTGGGTTGGGCAGACCAAAGCCAGGAATCTGGGACTCAGTCTGTGTCATACATGTGTGTCAGGGACACAAGTACTTGAACCATCATCTTCTGCCTCCCAGGACGCACATTAGCAGGAAGCTGGAATTGGAAACAAAGCTGGGACTTGAACCCACAATCTGGTATAGGAGGCATGCATTCCAAGCAATATCTTGAACACTGTGCCAAATACCCAGTATGGGTTTGATGTTGCTGAGCTGTAGAATTCTTTATGTATTCTGAACATTATTACTTATCAGAAGTAAAATTATTTCCTCCTAATATGTGAGTAGCCTTTTTACTGTTTCAGTTGTATCCTTTGAGGTGCAGCAGTTTTAGATTTTAATACAGTCCAATTTATTTTTTATTGCTTGTGCTTTTGATGTCAAATCCAAGAAACAACTGCTAAGTCTATTGCCATGAAGTCTTTTTCCCTATATTTTTTCCTAAGAGTTTTATAGTTTTAGCTTTTATATTTCAGTATTTGATGTATTTTGAGTTAATTCAGGAGTATAATATTAAGCAAAAAGCCAACATTTTTTTGGCATGTGGATATTCAATTTTTCCAGCACCATTGGTTGAAGAGACTATTCTTTCTCTGTTAAATGGGCTTGGCACCCTTGTCAAAAGTCTTTTGTCCATATATGTCTGAATTTACTTCTGGACTTTCTATTCTATTGCATTTTCCTATATGTCTGCATGCAAATACCACACCATTTAAATTTCTATAGCTTTTTAATACGGTTTGAAATCAAGAAGTATGAAAACTACAACTTTGTTGTTCTTTTCAAGATTGCTTTTACTATTCAGAGTACCTTGAGATTACAAATTAATTTCAGTATAAATTTTTCTATTTCTACCAAAAATAATGGGGAATTTGAGGGAAGATTGCATTGAATTTGTAGATTATTTTGGGTGGTATTGATATCTTAATGATATAATATCTTCAAACTCATGAACATGGGATGTCTTTCCATTTGTGTTTCTTTAAATTCTTTTGATAATGTTTTATGATCT